AATGGAGAATACGTAATTCCTAACTTCAAATAATTTGCACATTAGTTGGGTAGATAAGTAGCAAGGTGACATATTCAGAAAGAATGGTAAGTGATTTGAGAGGGCAAATGCAAAGATATGATATGGTGGGAATGTGTTGGAGGGATATCTAACCCAGTTTTTTTATCAGGCAGGACTTACCACAGAAATTCACAGGAATCTGAACTAACATTGAAGGCATGGTAGTTAGGCTAACCAGGAAAATGTAGCAGTATAGAAGCCCAAGGAGAGAGAATGTACTTTCAAGAATTGGGGGATGGTAAATAGTGCTCAAATATTCAGAGAAAAGACTTAAAAAGTTAACTTGAAATGAAGTTATTTTAAGGAGTGGGATAGGATGTGAAACCAGACTGCGTGGGCCCAAGAGTCATTGACTTGAAGGTGGGAAAAGAAATGGAAGCAATAAATATATACTCTTTTTATAAGAAATAGCACTATGCAAGTGATAGAACAAGACAGCAAAAGGAACAGCATGGGCTGGCAAGTAAGTTAAAGCATTATGGAAACTGCTAAGTGTTCTGTAAAGTATCATGACAAAACTAGGATGTCTTTTCTCATAATTTTAAGACGAATATAGGAGGATAATCTTAACCTCTTCAGTTTTGTAAGTAAATATCACCTGAAATTCTTCATGAAGCTTTACTTTATTAATTGGATGAGTGAGTTCTTTACTTATATTGTATATTGTATAACTCCCACATTTTACTTGTACTACTCTTTAAGCATTTGTACTTTTTATTTATATATATCTTAAGATCTTTATCCTTCCAGAAAGCAATTTCTGCTTTATGCAGTGTTACATGCACATTTTTTAAATTAGTGCTTTTGATAGCTTAGTTGACAGCACTGTGGAGTTTACTACCCTGAGTGACTTCTTCTTTAAAAACAGTGTCCTGAGACATGGGAGCACATTGTAATTTCATAGATTCCACTCTCCACCACTCTCCTTCCTAACTGTGTTGTGGCTAATTCAGAAATTTTTTAACCTTGGCAACATTTACTCATTTTATAGTAATGTTTTAGGTTAAAGTAGTTGAGATGATAGCTGTACTGCCCCACCACTGTACTATGAAATGTAGCTTGGACTACAGTGTTTGTTTCTTTTTTGAGATGGAGTCTTGCTTTGTCACCCAGGCTGAAGTGCAGCGGCACGATCTCGGCTCACTGCAGCCTGTGCCTCCCAGCTTCAGGAACTTCTCTTGCCTCAGCCTCCCAAGTAGCTGGGATTACTGGCGCCCTCCACACACCTGGCTAATTTTTGCATTTTTAGTAGAGAGAGCATTTCACCCTATTGTCCAGGCTGATCTCAAACTCCTGACCTCACGTGATCCATTCGCCTCAGCCTCCCAAAGTGCTGGGATTACAGACATGAGCCACCATGCTCAGCCAGTGTCCCATTTTTAAGAAGTAAATAATTTGTATTTTCTAAAAGTAAAATACATGAAGTAGGTAAAGGCAGAGTTGAAATTCTGAGGAAGGGTGGTCCGTCCTCCCATCTCCCACCCCTGAAGCCCCTCTGTGGAATCTTGGTGGTTCTGGAAACACTACTTGAAAGTATCTAGGTCCAACCATATCTTTCTTTTAATACATTTCATTTTACACTCAGGGGAACTGATCCCTAGGTCATTTGCTCAATTTTTTATAAACAATGGAGCTTCAGCTTTAGAGGTTATATGAACAACGTCTTATGGAAGAAAGATTATTCTTAATTTTCTTACTGCTATTTGGCATTAGTTGCTGTGTTATATAAAGTGATCCGGATAAATGAAACCTTTAAAAGTGTATTCTAGTTTTTTTAAGTCCATTGATTTCTTTTGTAGATAATATTTCATGTGTTTATCATGTACTCCTCCTTGATCATATGTGTTTGTGATATAAACAGGGATAAGTTTAGTGAATAGATAATATGATCCCGTGGGACAGCGGAAAGCCCACGGAACCATGTAGGTGAGCTCAGTGTTATGAAGGAATGAATATACCAGAGGAGGAAGAGGGAAAGGGAAGTGAGATAGACAGGAAGATATCTGTGATAATAATATGTTCCTCTGGAGCACAATGAATATGTATCTTTAGACCACAGATTTGTTTTTTTGATGTTTTTGTTTTTTTGCTTTATCTTTAGACATGCATGTGTGATTTATTTTTCTAACTTGTTTAATCTTCTTATCTAATTAGAAAAGTCATTTAAGAAGCTTTTAAAGAATACAAAGCTTTTATCTATGTGCTGAAGTTGTAACAAGGGTGAGATAGGCGCATCTCACACGAGTGTGAGAACTCAATCATTACATTTATGAACTGGAGAATAATCTCTTACCTTTTTTTTTCTATCTTTGGGTAAGGGTCCAAAGTCAAGACGACCTGGGCCCAATGGAGGCACTAGGCTGCCTTGGGACACCATCAGCACTTCCCCATCCACAACATTCTCAACAGCTGGGAGCATTGTGCAGACCCCAGGGGGCTTCCTGTTCCACAAGCTGCACTCTCTTCTTCCTCTTTACCCTTGCTGTTGGGCCTCCCCTCCAAATCTGCCTAACAAAGGCAGCAGGATCTTGATACTGTTCAGTATTAAGACAGGATACTCTAGAAAGTTGAGAGATTCCCTGGTCCAGTATGGGGGAGGAGAAAATATGCAATGTAGTATGGACGGTTTCACTTTCTTGTCCACTCAGACGCACTCTAATACTTATTAAATGGATGTATCAAAAGTCCTGATCTATAGTGGCACAAAAGTTCCTTGTACATAAGAAGTTGTGAAATGATAAAAATGTCTGCAGCAGTTAAGGCTCCTGATGACAAAGCTGGTTCTGATAAGTAGTTATTTTGACATGCACAGCAGATTCCCCTGTAAGTCCTGTGTTTGGAGGGTTTCATTTAGACCACAGCAAGCTGAAATCCAAGTTTAAAAGGCTCTCTGCTGACAAAATATGGTATATATATCAATGAATTTCTTCTACTAATGAAAGGAACAAACTACCAAAACATGTTACATGTTATGGACCAACCTCAAAAACATTAGCTAAGTAAAAAAGCCAGACAAGAGACCACATATTGTATAACTCCATTGATTTGAAATGTCCAAAAAAGGCAAATTTATAGACACAGAAATGGGCTGATTTACCTTAAGAGGCAGGGATTCAAGCTCTCTAGACTACATGTGATACATACGTGAGAAAAAATAAAGGAAAATAATATACTCCCTGATTATAAAGAGAATCACATTCTTTTTGTAATAATTTGGAAGACAAAATAAAAACTTTAATTTTGCCATTCAAAACATTCTGGTTTTTGCTTTTTATACGTTTTTATGCATATAAACATTTTAAAAAGTAGAATTGGCCAGGTGCCATGCCCGTAATCCCAGCACTTTTTGGAAGGCCAAGGCAGACGGATTACAGGGTCAGGAGTTCAAGACCAACCTGGCCAAGATGTTGAAACCCCATCTCTACTAAAAATACAAAAATTAGCCAGGCACAGTGGCAGACACCTGTAATCCCAGCTACTTGGGAGACTGAGGCAGGAGAATTGCTTGAACCCAGGAGGTGGAGGTTGCAGTGAGCCGAGATGGCACCACTGCACTCCAGCCTGTGCAACAGAGACACTGTCTCAAAAATAAATAAAAAATAAAAAGTAGAATCATATTTTGTCATGATGTTTAGGCATATTTCTATGGCAGTAAATATATACTTGGCATCATCGTTTTTAATAGTTAGATGTATATTAAGTTAATCATTGCCATCCCAGAAATAAATTTACTTATATATACATTTTATGGACTTGAGCAGGCATTTTTCGACTGAATTCACAGAAGTAGAATTTCTGGAGGAAAATAACATAAAATGGTTTTAGGGTTTTTAATAGAAATTTTCAAATGGTCCTGGAGGAAAATTGGTTCAGTTTCTGCTTCTACCAACAGGGACAGTGCTGCAGTTTCTTCATTCCATTTGTCCTCTTTGGTGGCTTTTTGTTTTGCTTTGTTTTTGTTGTTGTTTGTTTGTTTTTTAAGAATTCCTCTTTTTACTATACTGAAACATGGACAGAAAGGGAGAGAATCTGTGAAATTAATGAGGTAAATGTCATACATTCAATAGCAGAAATAAATACAGTTTTTCAGGAACATGAACATAAATTTAAGAGTTTTATTATCAAAGTCTTGTAAAACAATTTCAGAAACTGTACATCAAACATGGCACAGACTGTAGCCTACTTTTGTTTTTACTGCACAAAAGTGAAGCTTGAAAATTCTGTGACTAAGAAAACAGTTGCCTAACTACTTTGTATATATAACATGAAATCACTGTGCATAAGATTACTACTGCAGTAACACAAATTTATTGGTTTTATACAACTTGAGATCAAATAAAAGGTACATTATCGAGTAGATTTGTCTTATTTTAAAAGCATATTGTCTGGTAGAGGACTTTTGGCCCCGTTCCCCAGCCATGTGGAAAGGGCCTAATTCCCGAAAAGGAAGGCCCTTCCTCCCCCACAGGGAGGGTCCCTTATCTCACTCTATCCTGGCCGGACCCAAGACCAGCAACCTTCCYGCCCAGCGGCCCACTGAACCAAYCACCATCCGCCCCACCAGCTCTCCYGTAACCTCCCGTCCCACAAGCTCCYGCCCRGCAGGCYTCCTGCCCAGCAATCAACCTAGCCAATTACTACCTGCCAGGTCAGCTCTCCTACCGCCCCAGGCCCTCTGTCCCTATAAAGTCAACCGAACAAAGAAAGCGCGCGCGATTCTTCCCTTCCCGCTTGAGTCGCCCGGAGATCCCAATAAAGTCGGTACCGGTCACCATGCGTCCTGCCTCGAGTCTATTGAGTGCCTGCCTCCGTGGGTCGGGGTCCCACAGCCAGGGTCGCACACATATGAAGGTCAATTTAAAATGCACTACCCCTTTTTTACCAACACTGAACTTAAATTACTGAAAATTCAAAATAAGGGCAAGAGATGTTTTTTTTTCTTTCCCCTTTAAGATGGACCTAGGATAGGTAGATAACATTCACTCATGTAGATATGGAATAAATTATTAACTTCAGGAAAAAAAAATTCCCAAACATCTTACGAAAAAGTATACAACTCTACTTCAAAATATGCTGTTTACTCACTGCCAAAGACAGTTTTATTTGAAATCTTGTTTCTATATTTAAACCCTAATTAGACACCAAAAAAGGTTAGTGCATAATAACCTTTCAAACTTAAACAAAAGCCACAAAATTTTACCACAAAGCTTAAAGGATTATCTATTGCAAATGCTCATTTCCAGATGTAACTGTAAGAATGTTAATTTGTCATGTCAACAAACAAGACCATAAGTAGATCCATCATGTTGAAGGATTTTAATGACATTTAGGATATTCTTGCCACAATAACATGCAATCAGTGCATTTCCTACATGGCTCTATTATGGCAATGAATCAAATTATAGAAATACTGTAAGTGAACTTACTTAATAAAGGAGATCATACGACATAAACAATCCATGCCTGCTGTAGACGCATGCAGCTTTTCATTTTTGTTATGAAGCAGCACCAGAATAGTAAAACTGCCTGGTTAATCAGATTTCACCATGACAAGAATTGGTTACCTTGTACCATTTTCTAAAAGCTTTTTGATGTGAATAACTAACATCAGTAACAGGAGCTTTATAACCATTTATAACTCAGAGGTGTATACATCTAGATTTGAGATGAACAAATACAGCATTAAGAAATTACATGAATGAATGACACTGATGCAGGTATACAGTTGGATTCCCACAGAGGCAGTACTCAGTCACTCATATCCATGCCTTCTTCATGATGATCATCCCCATTCACTTTGGATTCTCTTAGTGAATCGCCAGTTCCTTTTTCCACAGAACATTCCTTTGTTTTAGGGGAACCTGTTTCTGTTGGTTTTTTCTCTTTCTCACTGTCATACCCCTGTTCCTCTTCTTCATAATCCCGTGTAACCTGTTTTACATCTTTATCACTCTCTGATTTTCTTTCCTGGTCCTTTCCCTTATCTTTACTTTTCTTCTTCTTGCTTGTTGATTGTTCTCTTTCATCCCTACCTCTTTCTTTGTCTTTATCTTTCTTCTTCTCCTTTTTATGTCTCCTAGGGGATGGTGAGCGAGACAATTTTCTTTTAGGAGACTGAGGCTTTTTAGGAGATCTTGTTCCACTCCTGTCTCTGCATTGTTGTCTCTCTCTGCTTGAACGTCTAGAACATCTGACTGTGCTGTAACTTTTTGGTGGTGGTTTTGAACATTTCTTTTCTTTGTCTTCTTTCTTTTTGTCTCTCATTTTTGATGTGCTCCTTGACCTTCTACCTCTCTCTCTGGAATGAGATCTTCTCCGTCTTGGGCTTTTGGATCGTCGCCGACTCCTAGGCTCAGAATGTGATTGCCCTCTCGATCTGTTTCTTGACCACCTGTCTAGAAGATGAGGGAGTCCCCCTTCTCCTCCTAGAGCGTGATCTTGAATGCCTTCTTTTTTCTTCTTTCTTTGGTTCTATAGCAGCAGAAATTCGGGACTGTGCTTCTCGTACTCTTTTCATAGCTTCCTCTATTTCTTCACTAGAGGTATCCGATTTCAGACTTGGTAAAACCAGACCAGCAGCTACATGATTCAACTTGGGATCAACAGTACTCATAAGCTTCAGCAACTGATCTGTGGCAAGAGACTGAGAGTTCAAGTTTGCTCCAGGACGCCCAAGTGCAGCAAGGGTGGGATCAAGAGTAAGAGCCCCCAAAACAGCCAGTGGAACAGCGCCAATCTGGGTAAGTGTGTTAGGAGTAGGCAGAAGTCCACCATTGGGCAGAAGACCTGCCACTGCATTAGCTGGTGCCAACAGAGACAAAGCCTTAGCCTCATCAGGAATAACTCCTTCTGCATGTGGTACGACTGTCAAAGCTGTGTCAATGAATACAGTGTTTGTCAGATGCCGTGCCACAGCTACTGAGTCTGGATCACGGAACTTAACAAAGCAGACACGAGATGAAACTGGCAAAGGTGAATCATCCGGTGGGAAGAGGCACAATTTGTCAGTCTTGTCTAGGAAACCGAAGAGAGTCTGCATCTCAGAACTAGCGCTCGGGGAGACATTAGTCACCTGGATTACCTCGGTGCCGCTGCCTCTGCCACCACCACCTCTGCCACCAGGCCTGCCGCTGGGGCATGGACCCACAGTGCTAGGGATGATGGTAGTGTTGCTTATGGCGCTGCTCGGGCTCTCGCTCCTGCTTTAACTCATCAAACACAAAACAGACAGTGAGAAGAAGGGGGAAGAGGAACCGGTTTGCGGGAGAAGAGGGTGTCCAATGCTACAGCCTCTGCTACTACTACTGCTGCCACTGTAGCTGCTGCCGCTGTTTCTCCTCCCCCCGCCACATGCCGCGGGGGAGGGGAAGAGACTTTGCTGGTCTTTAAGCAGAAAATCTGATTGTTTTCATGAAATTTCTTTGGTTTCTAGTGCTTTTGAATCTTTTTCATATGCTTATTGGCCATTTTTATTCTTGTGGGAAGTGCCTGTTTCTCCATTGCCTATTTTCTGGCCAAGTCATATTTCACTTAATTTTTGTCTTGCTGATTGAAAGCATTTGAACTTAGTGATTTTCATGTAAACAGGAGCAGGGAAAACTGTAATTATGTAAGTCTCACTGTCACCCAGGCTGGAGTACAGTGGCATGATCATAGCTACCACAAGCTCGAACTCGGGCTCAAGCAATTTTCCCACCTCAGCCTTGCAAGTAGCTAGGGCTACAGGTGTGCACCACCACACTCAGCTAATTTTAAAATTTTTGTAGAGATGTGAATTTGCTGTGCTGCCCAGGCTGGTCTTGAATCCCTGACTTCAAATAATCCTACCACCATGGCTTGCCAAAGTGCTGGGATTGCAGGCGTGAACTACTGCTCCTGGTTGAGAGCTCATTTTTGTTTGCTAGTGGTGTTCTTGGTATCTTTTCGTATTTGAGAGTTTGGTGCTAGTGCTGAAGTATTATACTCACCATGGGAGGTTTACGGGACTTTTGTTTTCATATTGAGCAGATGGAACTGTTCAGTTCTGCATTATTGCAGGTATACAAAATGTGCCTACCAGGACTCTGCTTTATATTCATTGGAAGCAAGAAGTAATACAGTTAAACTTTTTCAGACTAGAGGCTTTGAAAGAATGAAGTGTTCTGGTTTAATTCTATTTTCTGAGAAGTACAAAGGTGAAAAGAACTCAAAACTTAAATTTCCTGTTGAATGCAATTTAAAAATATTAGCCAATGATTCCACTTTTCTTCTCTAGAAAGTTTGGACATTCTGGTCTACTTGGTGTTTTATCATAGCACTCCTAGTGTGTCTGAGAGTTTTATTGTGCAGATACTTTTTTAAAACTTTTTAAAATCAGTTCTCTGAGAACTGATATTGTAAATACACTTTTTAGACTAAATCTCTGATTGCCACTTGTTTTCTTATTGAACTCATAAAAATGAAACACATTGGATGGAGGATGGGAGTAGGAAGGAGATTTATGTTTTAACTGCATGTCATTGTTTCATATCAAGACAGAACATAGAATACCCTTGCCTTTGGACCTATAGAAGGAAACACATTTTTCTACCTTCTGTGTGCCAGAGGTTCTTGAACACCTGGAGGGATGACTGCAGCACAGATTGCTGAGCCCTACTCCAGAGTTTCCGAGTCACCAGGTCCGGGGTGGGGCTTGAAAATTTGTATTTATAAAAAATTACTGGGTGCTGCTGGTTCTGCTAGTCCAGAGACTACATTTTTGAGAACCACTCTTGACTACTAACTAAATTACAGAACTGTAGAATAAAGCTTAGATTGGTCTGGGATAAGCACAGAGGTTTTGGAGGAAATCATAAGAGATTCAACCATTGATCCCAGCCTAGTGTGGAATTCAGGTAACAAGCAATACAGTGACCTAACACATTTCTTGGTTTTCATGATCGCAAGTCATAGCCATGTATCAAGTGAGAAATTCAGTTTTATTTGCAAGGCTTAGAGAGGCCAGGTGATTCTAGAAAACTAGGCCTTGTATTTGTTTCAAACTGGTAAAGAGCTTTGAGTGCTTATTAAATTGAAAGCTTGTTCTTTTTATTTACATTGTACTTTTATTTTATTTCTTCTGAGATGGAGTCTTGCTCTGTCACCCAGGGTAGAGTTCAGTGGCGTGATCTTGACTAACTGCAACCTCTGCCTTTTGGGTTAAAATGATTCTCCTGCCTCAGCCTCCTGAGTAACCGGCATTACAGGCACTCACCACCACGCCTGGCTAGTTTTTGTATTTTTAGTAGAGATGGCATTTCACCATGTTGGCCAGGCTGGTCTCGAACTCCTGACCTCAGGTGATCCACCTGCCTTGGCCTCCCAAAGTGCTGGGATTATGGCGTGTGGCACTGCACCTGGCCCAAAAGCTTTGTGTTTTTAAAGATATTAGACATAATTCTTGTTTTAAAAAAAATCTTAATGATAATATAGACAAATGTTTTTCCAAAAAAAAAAAACCAAAAAACTTTGTGATTATTTTATCTTCTTGGAATGTTGAGTAATACAGTCTGCTTCATTAATCATCAAGCATGATATGACTTTTTCATTTTTATAGGATTAGTATGTCAATTGAGGTAATACTGGTAATTGTTGTACTCCATTTGAAGATGAAAAATATAGACCAAAGTCATAAACCTTGCATAGATTTGCACACCACTGCACTCCAGCCTGGGCAAAAGAGTGACACTTCATCTCAATAGAAAATAAAATACCAACTAAATAAAAACAAGCTTTTTTTTTTCTTTGTTCTTGAAGCATACACATAATTTTTAAAGTTTATTTTTTTAAGTTTTAAAGCTTTTAAGGCAAAAGCTGGCCCCTGCCCTCTCCTGAAGTGGGTGGGGAAAGCGGTTGCATGGGCAGCATTCCTTGTGATGCAACAGGTCCCTTTGGACATGCTGCTGCCTGGCCATGCCTCCTTTTTCTTTCATCTTTCTCATTCCCCAATGGGCTTGGAGCATTAAGGCCACACCCCTGTTCTGCATTCTAGTGGGGCCCTGGTTACATCTCCTCTGGCCCAGTCACACAGCTGCCTGGTAGGTGACTGGAGGCATTTAGTAGGCCTCGCTGGCATTTCACTGATGTGGCTGCAACCCCACCTCCCTCGCCACCCCATGACGTCTATGTCAGAAGAAGCTTGAAAGAGCAAATTGGCCGCAGCAAGGAAAAAGGTAAAACACACCAGGTGATGGCCCCCCAACCCAGTCACAGATCCCCTTTTGACGGCAAGACCACTCTCAGAGTCCATACCACTTCCGAGGCACACTAGACTGGGGCCCCCCCAATCCCAGTGCCTCTGGGATCCCCCCACCAAACTCTTGTCAGTCGCCCCACTCCTTCAGCAAGCAACTTAGCCCCTGCCCTTGCCATTCACCCCAGGGTGACTTTGGGAGGGTGCCTCAGGCTCCTCACTCCATACTCGGCCCTCACTTCCTGCCTCCCCAAGCCTGACCTCCCTGGGCTCTTTGGGCTTACGTCTCCAAAGACCTGGGTGCCCTAGCTCCCACCCTTGCTAGTTGTCCCTGGGTGACTTTGGGCTGGTGGCTCCTGGGGCTCCCTGCTGCAGACTGCCCTCCCCTCCTGCCCCAAGCTCAACCGCCCTGGGATCTTGGGGCTGGCATCTCCAAGGACCTGGGTCCCAGCCCTGTGTCCCCCTCCCCCATCATGAAGCAGTGACTCAGGCATCACACTGACGTCCCCTCCCCCAGGAGGAGTGGAATGTAGTGATGTCACAGTCCCACTAAGAACTGTCATTACTGTGGCAAGACCAGCCTTTGATGAGCCTTCTCACCCCATTTCTGGTTCCTCTGGTCGCAGAACAAATTTCCAGGTGGAAGGGCAATGGGGACTATGGGATCTAGGAGCAAGAGGTTTGAGGCTACCTTACCCGCTTACTATAGACAGTGACAATGTGAAAAGCTTACACTTCCCCCTTGAGCACAAAACGTTGACCTTGTCTCTAAGTGGCAATGGGAGAATGTGTTTGGTTTGATTTTCTCCCAGGCTTCTACTCACCAGAGAGATTTTAATGTTTCTTTCTCCATGGTTCTGGGACCAGACTGCCCTTCAGTCAGTGGCCTCTGGAGTGAGATCTGCTCATCATCTGTGGAACCGATCTTGGGAAACTGAACATGACAGCGTGAATCTTCCTCATATCATCTCATCCTGGGGTACTATGAGTGCCACAGGATAAATGTGAAACATCTTTCTGAAGCATCAGTTTCCCTTGATTCTCTTGAGAGAGAAAAAATACTAACGTACTTAGGGATGACAGTCACATAGGTTTCTAAGAGTATAGGCTTGAAATGAGGCTTGGGTTGACCTCTTTCTGATGAATTCCCAGATTTAACAGAAAGGCTGCCTTCTGTCCTGAGGATGCATTGATATAAAAGTATGAGAGGTACTGTGCCCTTCTTAACACTAACAGATGTGTGAAGGTGTATGACTAAACCACACAGTGTACAGTTCCTGCCTACCTAATGTTGACTTTTCTACCTCTGCCTCTGGTTTTGGTCTCTGGCAGCTCTGGATTTGTGGCAAAACCCCAGAGCTTGGAGTCAGAAGACTGAGTTTAAGTTCCAGTATTGCCTTTTTCTTTTTCTTTTTTTTTAAAGCCATAATATCAATTCTTCTGTCATTAAGTTATTGTGACAACACCTTGTAGAATTGTTGGTGGCATTAAATCAGATGATGTATAACAATATTTTGTAAAAACTGTAAAGTAGGTTGTGACTGTAGGGGGTTTGTAGTTCTCATGGGTATTACTGCTCTTCTTTCCTACAGTTAAAAAAATTTCAACAAAGGAACAGCCCTGTTGTTCCAGCAGGAGTGAGGAGGAAAAAGAAGAAACAACAGTAGCCCTGAGACAGCCACTTCTGATGGTTGCCAGTCACCTGGGGCTGTGAGCATTGGCTGACCAGGCTTCTGGGGAAAAGAGGCCCAAGGGGAAGTAGAGGGTAATTGTTAAGATTGTGTAAAAACTGCTGGTTACTAGTAAGAATTCTGGGTTTGAATCCTGTCTCTCCGTTTGCTAGGGATGTGATTTAGGGCAAGTTACTTGAGCTGCTTGGACCTCTCCTTTCACATCTGTAAAATAGAGGTGGTATTGTTTGACTCCTATTTGTGAAGGTTAAGTGAATTTTTTTTATTGTTTTTATGTTAATCCCATGCACATGGCCTACTGTAAGCACCCAGGCACATGGCCTACTGTAAACACCCAGGACACCCAGGAAATGGTCATTGTTGTTTGGTTTTCCTTATCCCCAGTCTCGAGGGGAAGCCAGGCCAATGAGAACAGCCATTTGCCGTCAGTCTGTCCCTTTAAGGGTCA